AGTAGCCCTAAGGGACCAAAGGAGAAGAACTCTGGTATTAGCCTCAAAACCATCTCTGGCCTGTCCTAGGAGATACTAAAACAGCAGTTTGAGTCTTCTGAGAACTTTCATTTATTGACAACTTAGTGTATTATGTGAGATTGCTTTCATGGGATGCTAGCTATCTCCATGAAATTGCTGTAGAGTTGTGTTGTTGGCAAGGAACATATTTTTCATAAATACACATGCACACACGTACACAGTACAGTAGTGAAGAGTCACAAGTGTTTTATGCTACATTTTAACTTCTACATATGGCAGTGATTTTAGGAAATCTATTAGGGAAATCTAATTTTACAGTGAGGAAATCGAGATTCCAGCTACAACACAAGGACAATTCTTCCCATTAGAATATGGGAGGGCAGGGGTTGAACCCCAAGCACAGTACTCTTTCTGTGGCTTTATGGATACAGACAAAGATACAGATACATACTTGTAATACAAAACTTGTTAGAAACATAGTATCCAACAAATTTGTATGAAATAAAACTCACTAATTCTAGCTGGAGTCTAAGGTTTTTTTTTTTTTTTTAAGATTTTCTTTATTCATCTGAGAGAGAATGAGAGAGCACACAAGATGGGAGAGGGTCAGAAGGAGAAGCAAACTCCCCGCTGAGCAGGGAGCCCCAGGTGGAACTTGATCCTGGGACTCCAGGATCATAACCTGAGCCAAAGGCAGTCGCTTAACCAACTGAGCCACCCAGGTACCCTAAGTATTTTTTTCTTTTTTTTCATCATTTTTCTATACTGAACTCATACATTCCATAAATAAAAATACTTATTTTTTTAGTAAAAATACTTTAAAGACCAGATACTCTTGATTGCTTAAAGTCATAAATGACAAAAGGAGTCTTGAGCAAATGCCTTCATTTCATACATTTTGTCTAAGAACACTTTGTGACCTTTATCATACCTACCGCAGAGCTTTGCCTGTGAATAGTGCGCTCAGTAAATCTGTGTTCGTTAATCAAAGAGATGAGATGCAGGCATCTCTCAATTTATTGTCAATGAGTGAAAAATTGTTCTCATTTCATCATAGAATTATATGGAGCTGCTATGTGGATGATTGCATCTCCATTGTTTAAAGGAAAACGTAAAGAAAGTATATTATAATGAATGCCTATCAAATGCTAGTGACTTTATTATGGATTATCTCATTTAATTCTAAACACATCCTTGCACAATAAGAATATAATCTCTGCCTAAAGGTCAGAAAGTTGAGCCTCAGGTCACATAACAAGGAGTAATACGGTCAGGGTTGGAACCAAATTCTGTATGACCACAAAGCCCATCATTTCTCATTCTATAGTCAAATCTCATACAAAAAAGAGACTTCATGGTGTTTCCTATAGCTATTTTCAAATGTCTAAGTGCCTGGGTGGGACATGAGGAGAAGGGGAGGGGGGAAAGCAGAGTCAAATTCCCCACAGATCAGTTTTTCATTCCAAATGGTACATGCTGTTCTTTTTCTTTGCCTGACTTCACAGTGCATCCCGATGCTGTGCAACTCCGTTCATCTCGAGACCTATGGAAAGAGTTTTATGTTTTAAACAATTAGACTTGACAGTGCTATTGTTTCTTTCTTATTTAATATCCTTCAGCCCTGAATCCCAGCCAGAATCTGTATTCTCTCTCCAAATTTAATTCCCATTCCTCGTACATATCACTTAGTTGTCGAGAGACAGTGACTTAATAGCATTTGTTCCCGTGGCTTAAGAACATCTGGGTTATGTCACTTTTTTAACTGACCTGTTTAACTCAGAGGGAATAAAGTTCTTTGTCTAATGATCTTTCAGGGCCCTTATAATTGTTGATTTTGCTTTCCAGATCCTATGTTGTTCTGTAAATGTCATGAGATGACAAGATTTCTAGGTATTAACCTGTTTCTGCTCAGAGAAGGATGGTAGTTATAAATACGGAAGGAACAGGAACAAAGATATTAATAGAGGAGAAGCTAACAAAGTCATAGTTGTTGGTGTATAACTTGCTGGTTTGGCAAGCTTAAAACTCCAGGGGAAATGAAAACAAGGGTTATGTAGGGCAAAAGAAAAGCATCTCTACATTTTCTGTGATTTCAGTTCAACTCAATTCAATTTGGTCAGCTCAGTTCATGAACAATTTCTCTGAGCCTTCAGTGAAGAGCAGGTACCATCCTTGAGGCTGAAACAACTTAGATTTCTTTGTGGTTCTGTGTGGCCAAGCAAAATAGAACTAATAATGTGGATAGCTTTGAGAAAGTCACTTTACCCCTGGGTTTCAGTTTCCTCATCTGTTCAATGGTGACCTCTTGCAATCATTCACATTTGGTGACCCTCCTTATGGCAAGACTATGCTATAATTAAAAGAGCACTTTTTAAAAAAATTTATTTTTTTAATTAACATATATTATTTGCCCCAGGGTTACAGGTCTATGAATCGCCAGGTCTATACATTTCATAGCCCTCACCATAGTACATACCCTCCCCGATGTCCATAAACCAGCCACCCTATCCTGACCCCACCAGCTGCCCAGCAACCCTCTGCTTGGTGAGATTAAGATTCTCTTATGGTTTGTCTCCCTCCCGATCCCATCTTCTTTCATTTTTTCCTTCCCTACCCTCCATAGCCCCCCGTCCTGCCTCTCAAATTCCTTGTATCAGAGAGACATATGACAACTGTCTTTCTCTGATTGACTTATTTCAAAAGAACACTTGTTTTAAAACTGGCAATTCGTATTTTAATCCTGGCTGTGCTACTGTTTGGCAAATCACTCAGCTCTTTTTTGCGTGTTACCTAAGGGGTTAGAGGAACTGATTTCCAAGGTTCCCTTTTCACTGGATAGCCCTGTGAGACCGGACGTTACCTCATCTGTCTGTATGACTAGCTTGCACAGAATAAGCAAACAAATTATGGGGACGGTGTGGATGCTCTTGAACCTAATTATCCTTCTTTCCTCCAATGTGGTGTACTGGTATGACCTGTAAACTGTGATCACACACATAGGCAGCCGGTGCCTGTGGCAGAAAACATGGCCCCATGACTGAAAGGAGAGTGATTTTTAAAGTCAAAATTTTAAGAAATGAGTATCTCTTTGAATAACAGAGAAGTTTCTGGCAAGATTTTAGTTGGTGTGGGGTTTAGGTTTGTCAGCTTGAAGCAAAGAAACATTTCATTGAACTAACCTTCATTGAGCTCAGTTTTAGCATCTATAACCATTTACTGAATATTGTAGGGTCCCTCTTTGTTGTGCATTTTCCACACAAGGATGCCCCCCCTTGATTGACGTAAATTAGTCAGGCTTTGCCATGTGACTTGCCCTGGCCAATAAAATGTGAGGGAGAATCAGATGTGCCACCGCTGCTGGGGAATTTTAAGAGGATTATTGTGTTCCCTTTCTCTCTACCAGGAGATCAGCAATGTTCCAAGGCGTGGGGCATCCATCAGCTTGGCGCTCAGCATGAAAACACAGTGGAGTCATCCTGTGATTATTTCAGTGTGATCAAGGACTCATCTTTTGTCATTGTAATCCAATGAGATTTTCTTTGTCCATTGCATTATAATCTATCCGCCCCCCCCCCCCCACTAGTGCTTGCTACTAAAAAAGTAGGGAGCAAGGCGTATCTAACCTTGGGTCCTTTATGGATCTTTCAGTCAGGCAAAATGTTACAGTAATGTATGGTGTGTATTACTGTAGAGGAAGTGTGCATTGCATGCATATATTGGGGTAAGCAAACCTGACCTTATGGTCAGGGAAGGCCATCTTGATAATATGCATTTAAGCTGACAGCTTGTAAATTAATAGCAATAAAACTGGCCAAAGGCCAGGAGGAGAAAGAGGTGTTGCAAACAGAAAGAGAACCATGGGTCAAGGCATAATGGCAAGAAAGCCCACGGGAGTTGAGGAACTCATTGTTGAGTATGGCTGTCAGGGTGAAGGGGAAACTGAAAAGGAACATGGCCAGTGAGATAATATCAATAATAATAATAATAATAATAGTGAGCATTTATTAACTTTGTGCTAAGTGCCTTACATATATTTTCTTCATGATTATTATCACCATTTTATACAAGAGGAAATTGAGCCACAAAGAGGTTTAATAACTTGCCTGTAGCCACACAGCAGGGATGTGATTTTATCTGAAGGGCAATAGGAAATCACTGAATGGTGTTACACAGGGGAGCCTCATGATCGGATTCACATTTTAGAAAGATTGTCCAGCTGCAGTGGGTTCCCAACTCAAAATCCCACTCTGATGGGAGGAAGCAAGGACCTCCATCTCTGCCGTTCTTATCAGCGTGACTCCATTGACTAAGGCTGTCAGCAGGAGGGACGACAATTGCCAAAGCACTGCAGAACAAGTTATTTTAAAAAATACTTTCTTAGGGCGCCTGGGTGGCTCAGTTGTTAAGTGTCTGCCTTCGGCTCAGGTCATGATCCCAGGGTCCTGGGACTGAGTCCCACATCAGGCTCCCTGCTCTGCAGCTTCTCCCTCTCCCACTCCCCCTGCTTGTGTTCCCTCTCTGGCTGTCTCTTTCTGTCAAATAAATAAATAAAATCTTAGAAAAAATACTTTAAAAAAAAAATTCAGGCACCTGGGTGGCTCAGCTGGTTAAGTGTCCGACTCTTGGTCTTGGCTCAGGTCTTAATCTTACTGTGTGAGTTCAAGCCCTGCGTTGGGCTCCACACTGGGCATGGAGCCTACTTAAAAAAAAAAAAAAAGTAAAATGCCTTCTAAAAAGATTAATAAACATTATTTGTTTAGTTGAAAAAGTATGGAATGCAGGGGCGCCTGGGTGGCTCAGTGGGTTAAGCCGCTGCCTTCGGCTCAGGTCATGATCTTGGAGTCCTGGGATCGAGTTCTGGGATCGAGCCCCGCATCGGGCTCTCTGCTCAGCAGGGAGCCTGCTTCCTCCTCTCTCTCTGCCTGCCTCTCTGCCTGCTTGTGATCTCTCTATCAAATAAATAAATAAAATCTTAAAAAAAAAAAAAAGAAAAATTATGGAATGTTTCATGAATTTGCACAAGGGCCACGCTAATCTTCTCTGTATATTATTTCCAATTTTAGTATATGTGCTGCCGAAGAGAGCATAGAAAATGTCATGTTTGGAAGGAGTAAGAATGGTATATGTAAGAAAAAACATATTGTGGGCCTCCAGAGCATTAAGATTTGGGTAATAGCTTTAATAACAATATAATATAATAAACTGATGCCCCAGTGAGCTCTTGTACCTAATTCAAATAATGGATATGAAATCACATCAATATTTTGAGCATTTCAATTTACTTTTGACCATAAAACAGACAATTTGGTGGGTAAATTAAAGACAGAACCAAAAATCTTTATTTTTTATTTTATTTTATTTTATTTTTTAAGTAGGCTCTACACCCAGTGTGGGGCTTGAACTCAGGACCCTGATAAAAAGTCACATGCTCTACTGACTGAGCTAGCCAGGTGCCCCAAAGTCAAAAATCTTTCAAGCAGATTGCTTTAGGGGTCCAGAGTGTTCCTCCCTCCTTGTTTACCAAGGTTGAATAAGAGTGATCACAATTTGCATTTCTCTTTGTCATGAATAGAAAGACATATAGACCAAGAGGGGAAAGAGCCCTTCCTAAGTGACAGTGACAGCTCTGACAGTTGTTCTCTGTGAGTTGTTTGGTGTCCATCAGAAGCCTCCAGAGACCTAGGCCTGACTGAAGAGGTCCCCAAGTCAAGATCCAGGGACTGTGATTAATATGAACGCTTTTTAGTCTTTGTAGGGTCCCTTCTGTTTCAGCAGAATTCAAAGGAAGGATTGCGGGTAATATTGACACTTAACACATTACGTCCTTTAACCTTCTCTATAGACGATCCCCAGAACCCCGACTCGTTCTCTTTTTCCTTTCCTTTCTTTCCTTTCTTCTTCCCCTTCCCTGCTGACTCCCCTGACGAGTATTTTTCCTCTTTTAAAATAGCCTCTGCAGAAAATAACGTGCTAGAAATGAGCTGACCGCCAATATGCATCAGAAGATTTATTGCAACAGAGAAAGGATGTTAGGAGACATCGCATATATTAATCTTTCCGTTTTGGTCTATAAAGACCCGAGTTTGGCTACTTTCACTTATATGCTTTTAAGGAGATAACGTTTGGTCGGAACAGGAGATCTGGGAGGTGATAGGCAGAGACTTCCAGCCTAAGTGCCCCGGAACACAGGTGGGCTCTGCGGCTGTGGCTTCTCGCATTCAGGCATCACAGGCGGCAGGCTGGGCAGAGGTTTTTGACGCCACTCCCGACGCGGCTCCTTGCAAACCAACTGCCCAGCCCAGGGAAGTTGTCAGAAAAGATCCATCCATGCAGGTTTGGGGATGGTTTTTTGAAGTTTTCCTGAAATAACCAATAATGAGTTGCAGGCTTTGATAGCTCTTTTTATAGATCTTGCAGCAGCTGGATCAAAATCTAATGAAGATGTTTGCATCTGACAATGGCAGGCCTGCACATTTCTATCCTATTTCTTGAGTGCGCAAATGCATTTCATTTGGGAACATGAAAGGCATATTTAGTGACAACTGATGGTTCTTTGTTTTTTAATTCCCAATAATGTCTTCAGTAAGTGCTTTTGTTAACATTTTTGCATTATACAATAGGTGACACAGGAAGATAATCGGTGTGCTGAAAGCAATTAAAGAGTTTATATCCAACTTGTTCTGCCTATTAAATGGATCCATTCGGCATAGAAGCACATTAACATCTTTACAGTGGAATGATTGTGGAAATAGGTTATTCACGGGGCCCGTGCGTCTTCCTTTTGCTGCAGTAAGACATATCTTCAAGATTGGAGAGAAGGAATGAGCCATTTTTCTCCCCTTGGAACTGTAAACAGAAGTAAAACTATTAATAGATGCTGTAGCTAATCCCAAGAAGCTGCAGCCGAGAGATTAAATAATGTCGTGAAGAGAGAAAGCCAGAAAGAAGGGAGGGGAGGGAGGGAGGAGGAGGAGGAGGGAGGCGCGTTCCCTGATTACCATGCTGCATTAGACAAGGACAGACTGAAGGACTCTGGCTGATCGCCTTGTTGACAGTTGGTCTAACAGGGGAATCCTGTTTTCAGCAAAATAAATATCGCTTTACCTATTGCTTGAGAGCTGTTGTCATGGGAAGATTTATGTTTTATTTTTTAAGTAGTAGTTAAGATGATTGGAGATGGGGTTTGGACGCCATCAGATGCAGCTGAACCTAAAGGGGCGAATGGAATTTGTGACCAAAAAGATGTGTTTGGTGTTTAAAAAAAAAAATAAAACCAAAAAACCCAGAGAAGTGTCCTTAGGGTCAGTTCACCTTTGGAGACTGGGACCCCATTTATATTGCTGCATAGAATGGATTGTAACAATGGGGATTGGGATATAATTAAATCCTGTACCTGGCATGTTTGGAATGATTAAATGTCCCCAGGTTTTATTCCCACTCATACTCTTGGACTTTTGTTCATCTTCTCTTTGATATATGCATGCTGATGGAAAGGCATTGTGAGTCAGCAGCTCTGCCGAAGATAAGCACATCTCTTCCTATTTTCACATGAACCATGAGCTTGGCATTACTGATACAGCTTATTACTATTTGAACTGTGGTCCGTGGACATCATCATCATCACCATGACTTGAAAACTTATGAGACACGCAAATTCTCAGCCTCTACACCAGACCTAATATATCAGAATCTCCAAGGGAGGGCCCCTGGAATGTGTTTTAACCAAATAGCGATTGAGTTATATTTCCTTGAGCTTGACAAGACCTACAGGTAATTGTTCAGCCCACTAACATTTGAGAAGCAATGTTTTCTTGTTGGGAAATCCGCAGCTCAGAGTGTTTGGCTTTTTTGCTAAGGTCACACACGCTCAGAGAAATGGAATCGAATTCTGATTTAGGATTCTTATTGTGTCCTGAGCTGGGAGCTTTCATAGAATCAGCAAAATATGTGGTCACCTCCTCCTGGTGTCAGGAGCATACTTGGTCTCTGAGGATGGTCTTTGATTAGGGATCGTGACTAAGGATGCTTGGCACCTATGACTAGTTTGAGCTATTGTTTCTCTGCTAAAAGAGAAATTCTGTTATCTCTGCCAATGCAGTTAGCTTCTGAACTAGGCCCGATGGGCCACCCTTCTGGTGTTTAAGAGACAAGGGAAGCTCAGACAGTGACTGGAAGGGGGGCCAAAGGATGGGCATGTGGTACCTATCATTTTCACCTAGAGAAACATTATAGAGAGACCCGAATGTTGAGCATCTCTCTACATTTTTAGATCTATTCAGTTCTTGGGCGGGAGGGCGAGGAGAATAGCTCCTGGCATGTTCTAGGAATAAGTCAAATTTATTTGTGATCGCAGATCACTACATATCAGCAGCAAATTGATCTAGATCAAGGAATTCATTGGGTGCGTGAGAATATAGAGCAGCACCTGGGGAAGGACGCTTGTTGCCGTCCGCCCCGCTGACTGTCCTTCTCCATGCTTGAATAAGCCTTAGCTCAGGCGGCTGGTATTCAGGCTGTTGTGTCTCAGAAAGAACTGGATGCTCGTTAGGATAAGACTGCTTTTCATGGAGTCATTTTGCTTTCTCATCACCCATTTTTGCCCTCTTTTTTGATAGCATTTGGAAGCCATGACCTAGAACTTGAAACATGGTGTTCACTCAATAAAGGCAGGGTTTCAAACCAAAATTAATGCTGTTCTTTGGCAGGTGATATTGTGATGCCAGGGCTTCAGGGAGGGGGAGTCTGTTCAAGGGAAGGAGCTCGGGCACTTTACAGGCTGGTCTTTTGACCGTGGGTCTGCCCCTTGGTAGTTTGTATGCCCTCGGGTCTGTTACTTTTAACCACTCTGTATCAGTGTCCTTCTGCGAAATGGGGAATGTTTTCTATGTCGTAGAGTGATTATGTCGATTAAACATGGGGCAGCCACACAATTGGCTTGCCCAGGACCATCCAGGTTTACACTTGCTGTCTAGATGTAATTATTTACAGCATTCCCTTTGACTCTGAAAGTGTCCTGATACGGATGATAAACTATATAGTTACACTCATTAAATAAGATAATGTATGTAATGTGTCATGTCCCATTGGTATTCAGTAAATGAGAACCATCATTTGAAATACTGCCTCTGGAAGCCAGTTGTATCTTACCACTAAACTAGACTTCATTTTCCTCCCTGGAGAATGAATGATGATACACACTCAGGGCTGTGCCTAACTGTGCTGTGCTGGGTCTGTGCTTCCCTGTTCTCTTCCTTTAGTCTGTGCCACCGCTTAGGTCAGGAACAGCAACAACCTGGGGCAAAACTCACTGGTCACTTCTGCAGAACCAAGTGTTACTGTCACCTAGGGATTCCTGGGTCATTGGTGCTGTGTTTTGGAGGTTTTAGAAGAAAACTTAACGACACGACAGGCAGTATATTACATTTAGGATTAATCCCTAACGCCAGGTGCTCTAAATCTTTTGAGCTCAAGGTGGGCAGTATTAGTCCCGTCTTACAAATGAGGAGTCCCAGACTCAGAGAAGTGAAGAAGTTAAACTCCCTTTTTTTTTTTTTTTTTGGTCTCCTAAGCTCTTTCCACAATAATGCTCAAATGCCATTAATGAGGAGCAATTCTAACACCACATGAAACGATGAGTAATACCAATCAGTTCAATATCATTCTTGGCTTCCTCTCATTGGCAGGTGGAATGGAAACACTCTGCTGCTGCAAGGAGGGAGAACATTTCTAAAACCAACCTGCTACTTCTTTGATCTTTGTGTTTTCCCCCCATATGCCCATCATAGATGTAGATTTTCATAGATCATTGAACATCCCAGAATATTAATTGCTGCCATCCTGCTGCCTCTGCCAAACATCCCCACATTAAGATTATTAGAAAGCAGAAGGTCTGATTTGGGCTTGATGCGGGAGACACTAATGGATGAAACGAGAAGAAGAGGAGAAAGAGGAAGAAAGGCAGGGATGACTGTCAGACCAGACTCACCTTTACATAAGCAGATGGAGACTTTTTGGAGAAACCCATTCCTTTCTACTTCCCTAACCATTTTAGGTTAATTCTGACCTGCTTTAGGTAGATAAAGATAAA